TTGTTATTGTAAAGTTGAACCGCATAGAAAAAAATGTTTATAAGTTACTGCTGCAGCAAAAAATGTTTGTTATTGTGATGATAAGCAGAATATAAGTTATGTATGAAATGGTTGATCCAGTGAACTGCAAGCCATTGCTGTTTATATATAGGAAATTGCACTGAAGTATTTGAACATACATATATAATATACAGCAAAGAGAATCACATTTATTCAAGTTTTCTGTCATTTGTAGATCATAAAGTATAGTACATTGATGAATTTAAATGGTGAGTAATTTAATTTTTTTTTATTATTTCCTTGGGCCTGAATCAAACCCAAGATCTCTACCAATAGAGCTGATGGGTTAAACTACTAGTAGTTGCTGGTGGGGCACTTTTTAATAACTTTAACTACTGCTTTTTTCCCATTTCACAAACAAGATTTGTTCTAAGGGGCTTATTATCTCGTGTTTGTGGGATGGTCAGTAGTTGTGCACCTGTTTTTTTTTCTTGTAATATTGTTATCTTTTCCTCTGATCCAATTTGAAACCTAGACCAAGTGGTTGCTCTACCAACTGTTACAAAAACTGTTACAAAAAGGAAGTTGAAATGCACAGAGGCATGAAGAATATCATGTAGACACAGTTGTCACATGTTGCCACCAGAGTCGTCTTTGTGACTAAGGTTTGATCACTCACAGCAACTGTTCAAAATGTGGTTCTTTGGCTTCCCGATTACATTTCATCTCTGTGACAACAGATATTACAACAATGACGCATCTCATCTGGTATACTGGACACTTATAGACTATTGCATCTGTGTAACAACAGATATTATAGCAATGACACATATCATCTGGTATGCTGGACACTTAGACTATTGCATCTGTGTAACAACAGATATTATAGCATTGACACATATCTGGTATGCTGGACACTTAGACTATTGCATCTGTGTAACAACAGATATTATAGCAATGACACATATCATCTGGTATGCTGGACACTTAGACTATTGCATCTGTGT